AGTGCAGTGGGTAAATAGGGCCAGTAGTAGAGCTCCCTCCAACTAACTGTAAAACCTTTGTGAGTCTGGCAAGAGTGTGGGTGACCCCCTTCCTGCACACAGAAAACATCAGGCAGGGTGGGAAGTATAATAAGGACTCTCTCAACTTGGAGAAAGTAAAAAGGGCTTATAAGACACACAGACACACAATAGGGACAAACTAGGGCCTCAGCTGACACAAACACTATAGACAGGGAGATTTGGTGACCTGGAATAACCTGAAGATAAAGTAATAGCAGGAACTAAAAGTTGACCTACATCAATACTATTAGGCTAGTCAGCCTAGGAAGAATATAGGACTCACCCAACAGGCCCTGCGTGGGAAGTCAGGTGACTGGCCCCACTCTTCATTGAGGGACCCAGCAATTGGACAAACATCAACCTTACATTAGGACCCCAAGATACACACTACCAACACTTGGCACTAGTGGTACTGAAGAAAGAAATATTAACTCGAAAGGGGACAATGGCAAAATGAAAAAGCAAAATGAAATCTCTAACATCTAGTCCACCAGGAGCAAGTACAGGAGACATTGAAATAAAGGACATCAAAGGTAACATAATGGAAATCTCTGAAAAGATAGCTAGAGAAATAAAAAAAATAACTCCATGAGGCTATAGAGGAAATCAAATTAGAAGTACTCACCCATGTAAAGATAGAAATAGCAACCTTAGTAAATGAGTTGCTGAGCACAGCTAAAGAAGAAATAGAGAAAAATGTACAGGAGCATGGGAAACTGATTGAAACTTTGAATGAACAACATAGAAAATAAGCAGAATTCATGAAACAAACTCAAAGAGACATGCAAGAAACAAAATATTCTATTTAGAGCTGACAGAATCATTTAAATGAAACTGAGGATAGGATTTCGGACCTTGAGGACAGGATCACAATCAGCAATCATGAAAGGATAGAACTTTAAAAAATAACAAAGCAGCATGAAATGAAAATCCAGCTGCTTCAAGATGATGCCAAGAGCAACAATGTAAGATTAGTAGGCATCAGTGAAGAGGTATGAGTCAATAAAAATGTCATAACTAAAATATTTACAGAAGCAATAGGAGAAAATTTCCCAAACAAAAGGAAAAAATCTGATATGCACATAGGCATATAGAATGAGGCATATAGAATGTCAAACAGTTAAAACCAAGAGATATAATAATGAAGATTTCAGACATACAGCATAGAAACAGAATACTAAAAGGTGTTAAAGACACAACTCACCTATCAAGAAAAGCCCATTAGAATCACAGCAGACTTTTCCACATAAACCATGAAGTCAAGATGAGCTTGGAGTGAGGTATTTCAAGACCTGAAAGAAAACAATTTTTAACTCACAGTAATGTACCCAGAAAAACTTTTATTCAAATTTAATGGAAAAACAGGATACTTTCATGACAAAGAACAACTGAAGAAATTCGTGCCCACCAAACCAACCCTAGAACGAGTACTAAAAGACATAACGGATAGAGATAAAAATGACCACAACCCCCAGAACAATAACAGAAAGAATTCACTAGGTAGCATAAGCAATTAGACAATGGGGAAAAGCAGAAAGCAAATAACTGCTACATAACATGGCAAAGTCGAGCCAGTACATATCAGTGACATCCATAAATGTAAATGGCCTCAATTCACCTATCAAAAGAAACAGGTAGCAGAGGTATTTCAAGACCTGAAAGAAAACTATCAAAAGAAACAGGTAGCCAGAATGAATCAAGAAACAGGACCCCACAATATGCTGTATACAACAAACACATCTGACCCAAAAGGAAGCTAACAGGCTAAAGTCACAAGTTGGAAAACTGTTTCATGCAACAGGAATCCAGAAAAAAGCAGGGGTAACTCTTCTATTTGCAGACAATGTAAACTTCAAAACTAAAATGATTAAAAGGGAGAAAGAAGATCTCTACATACTCATTAGTGGAAAATTTCAAGAGGAAGAATTAACGATTATAAATATATATGCACCAAATACAAGAGGACCCAACTATATAAGAAAGATACTAATGGACATGGAAAACCAAATACACAAGAACACAATTACAGCAGGGGACCTTGACAGCCTATTGTCACAAGGAGATAGATCAATTAGACAAAAAGTCAGCAAAGAAATAATAGAACTGAATCATACCTCTGAGCAATTGGTCTTAGTAGATGTTTACAGAGTGCTTCACCCAACCACATCAGAATACACATTCTTCTCGGCTGTGCATGGGACATTCTCCAAAGTAGACCATATATTATCCCATCAAGCATTTTTCAGTAACTGAAAAAGATTGAAATATAATATCTGCATAATATCTGACCATATCACATTGAAATTGGAAATTAATGGCAAAAGAAATTGCAAACCTGCATAAATATGTGGAAATTAAATAACAACCTTTTGATCACCCAGTGGGCTACAGATGAAACTGAAGAAGAAATAAAGCAATACCTACAATTCAATGAAATGCAGAAACAACATACTACACTCTGTGGGATGCAATGAAAGCAGTCTAAAGAGGGAAATTATAGGAGTTAATTGTCATATCACAAAAATAGAATGAGCACAAATAAACAACCTAGTGCTTCATCTCAAGCTTCTAAAAAAAAGAACAGCAAGTTAAACCCAAAGCTCATAGAAGAGAGGAAATTGTAAAGATTAGAATAGAAATCAATGCAATTGAAACTAAAACAAAATACAAAGAATTAATGAATAAAAAGCTGGGTTTTTGAGAGAATAAACAAAATTGATAAACCTCTAGCTAATCTTATCAAGAAAAACAAAGAACAAACCCCAATTCATGCAATAAGGACTGAAAAGAGGGAAATTACTACAGATCCCATGGAAATTCAAATGATCATGAATATCTACTTTGAAAATCTCTACTCACATAGAAAACAAAGAGGAAATGGAAAGATTTCTAGAAACATATGAACTGTATTAGAAATCAAAACCATAAAACAAATATCAATCACTCAAAATTAAAAATAATAAGCATACTATAGGACCTAAAATAATTATTTCAAAGACATTTTGAAGGCAACATTTACTGCAGGCACAAATATATCAGGCTCTGTTACAGTACTGATGATATATGAGGTAATCAAAACATAGAGTGTGCATTTAAAAATTTTTACAGTAAAAGACGTATTACCATTTATTTCCTTTAGGTACTCTTGCTCACTTTAAGCAAACTTATCTCATCCTGAAGCAATTCTAGAAGTCCTATTTTGTGACTCTCTAATAAAGTGTCCAGAACTGTCTCAGAAAGTGACAAAACCTTGGGAAAAGTCTGTTTGTAGTGAAGTTTTTTTGCAGGAGACAGTATGTCCTTCATTGAATTTTTATTTGAATAAATACTGTTTTATTTTATAATAAAAAGTTTTATTTCTCTTTACACAATTGTTTAGATGTGTGTACTCTTTTCTTAGACTATTCTCAAATTCCACTCACTTCTCAGTGTGTGAAATAATTAATAATCTTATTCTAGTCTCCTGTTAATCAATTATCATGTGAGTTTTCTGAAATATACAATCATATTAATCTGCAGCCCAAAAAACTCCAGTGTCTGATTCCTCCAAATAGACTTACATTCCTTAAGATAGCATTCAGGGTACTTAGTAGCCTGCTCCATGTCCACCTATACTTTCCATACTGAGCAAGACTTCAGTCCAACTGTTCACCACCTCGTTGTCTGTGTCTCGTGGTTCACCCCTCATGTCCCAATCCTGGTGGCATTCTCATGTCTAGAAGCATGGACTCTGGTCATGCTCATTTCTCAGTTTCTCCAGCTCTCAATGTTTTTTCCCCATTCTTTAAGGTATAGTTTACTGCTCACATTAACTAATAACTAAATATCACAGGCAATATAACTTCTGTTTTGTAAATCTCCAAGGATGTGAAAAAAAAACAATGTTGACTCAGACACCAACTCCATTTAACTTACCTGATGGACCTTGGGCAAGCTATTCATTATGTCAATGTTTCAGATCTTGAATCACAACAAAGATTTTAAAATGCATACTTACTTGGTATATAATAGATAAGAAAGTCTATCAATGTGTGTAGCAGACAGTACATTCTTAGTAAGTTATTTTCCTTTTTTAATTGCATATTTAATTAATATAAAAAGTATTGTTGCTTAGATATTTAAGGTTTTTACTGCTTTTCTGTCTCCTTTAATTTTGAATGTCTCTATCTTCTGTTAATTCTATGAACATGTAAATATCTATTTTTAGAGTCAGATTACCAAGAAAAATAAGTAATATAATAAAGTGAAATTTTGCTTTCCTTGATGTATTCAATGATTATGTTATTATATCTGTTGGATGCATAAGCAAACTATGTGTAAAATTAACTTGGGAATTTTAGTACAGATGATGTAAGTTTCACTATAAATTTTTAAATCGTCAATAAACAGATACTTTATTTCAGATAAGTTGAGAGCAAAAATAATGAATGCTCAATATATAAATGTTCTTGTTTGAAGAATAAGACAGAATTAATTAATAATCTGCTAAAAGAGGTATTGTAAGTTAAAAATCAAATTCAAAACATACTGTAGATCATGTTGCTGTAGCAAAAAACTAGTGTTTCTGAGTGTAGATTGTTTTTGAGATTGTGAAATTCAGATCTGGAAGTTTAGAATTTTTCCAACAATGTAATCAATAGATAACTTTGAGAATAGTGGCTTTCATTGCAACAATTTTTGGGCTTGTCAAAAACTGAACCCTCAGATCCTCATGAGTAATTACTTGGTTCATTTCTGATGAGACCTGTTATACTAGATTTTAAATAAATTTTAACTGATCATCTCCTTTCCAAACTAATTCGACTCAGAAGCCATGACATATTAATAATTTAGTATCTTTTTTACAAAGACGTTTTTTTCTCTTTCTCACAGTGTGCAGAATTTAAAGAATGTATTAAATCAAATTACAATTGTGTTTCAAAAGAAAGTGATTCAGGATGTTATATTTTCTTTTTCATAACTGCTTTCATGATATTTACTACTTCCTTGCTTCTGAGACTATAAATAAAAGGATTCAATAAAGGAACTAATGTATAGAATATAGCAACAGGTATAGCTTTATCTCCTTCATCAACAGAACTGGGTCTAGCATACATGAAAAGAAGGGAACCATAGGAGATTGACACAGACAGAAAATGAGAAGCCCAGATAGGTAAGGTTTTGCCTCTTCCTTCTTTAGATTTCATTCTGAATATAGTGAAAAGTGTATAGAAGTAAGAAATTAAGATTATGGCAATGGTAAATATTTGAATGGAGCCTGTCAGGATATACAATATCATTTCATTGATAGAAAGGTCAACACAGGAGAGTCTGTATAATGGAAGGACATCCCAGAAAAAATGGTTGACTTGGTGAGACCCACTGAAACTAAAGCTAAATAAAAATCCTACTTCAATCATAGGATAGAGGTTTCCTGTTATGTAGGCTCTGTGATCTACAGAATGCCAAGTTTCTTTGACATCCTGCTGTGGTACTGCAGAGGGCTGCATATGACCACATAGCGGTCATAGGCCATTGCTGCCAGAAGAAAGCAGTCTGCAGTTTCAGCAACACAGAGAAAATAAAACTGTGCCATGCCCTCAGAGAGAAATCTTTCTGTCCCGAGAAAAAAGTTCTCTAACATCTTAGGAGTGATGGTACAGAACAAAAGGATCCATCAGAGCCAGGTTTCCCAGAAAGATGTACATTGGTGTGTGAAGATGACGCTCCGTGTAAATCAAGGAGACCAAACCTAGATTCCCCACCATTCTGATGAGGTAGATCACAAAGAAGAGGATAAACAGAAGGGTCTTCTGGTCTGGGTTGTCTGTGAATCCTATGAGGATGAATTCTATAATCAAGGAGTGGTTGTCTTTGGTCATCTCTACCTTGCCTATTGAGATAGGAATTAATAAGTCGTAAGATTCTAACTGAGGTAATATAATGTGTTTTTTTCAGTTTTTTTTCTTTTCTTTTTGGTGTCAGGAAAGAAGTGGTGCAACCCATCAAGCAACCCATGTTATCTTTAAAATATAGCTGTGTATACATTAGGGAGCATTTTTTTCTAGTCAGCATCCATTACCTTGTACTGGCTCTCCTAATTTAATGTAATACTGATAAAGTCCAAGGAAAGGCTTAGAGTGGATAAAGACCATCTGATTTTTAACCAATGCAAGCATAGCATAAAATGTAGAACACCCATATTTAGTTTGTTTTTCCATTTTAGTATCATTTTTATTATGACCTCTAGTAAATTTAAAATCAGTTATTTTATAATCTGTATTTTTACCTTTGAGAAGTTGTATATAGTCTACAAAATGTTTTACAAAATCATATTACAGGTTTGTTACATTTATATCTTTGAGACTGCACAAAATGACTTGACTAAAAATGTAGGGAACTGCTCAACTTTATATGAAATTATCGTGGAGAGCTAAAGTAAATGTGTTCACAATTGCTTTCTGTCTCATCCCTTTCCCCAGTGTCACATGCATTTTCATATGTACTGACCTTTTCCATGTCAGTATTTCCATTAATTTTCTCTACATAACTAACTCTTGCCTCTTTTAATGCCCTAGTTTATATAGAATGCTGCTTCAAAAAGTTTTAACTGAATACCCTAAACAAAATGGTTTAATTTTCTTAATTGTAAGAATGTCTTCTTAACCCCATCTATAATTTCTTGCATATAAACTACAATCCTTTATTCTTTCACATGTATCCTAATACTTTCCTTTGTAGTAATTTTTAGGCTTTTACATGCTTCTGTGAAAGGACTTCTAAAATGCTAGAGAGAGCAGAATTAATTCCAACCCTAACTCTTCAACAATGGATCTGGAATGGGTTGCCCTCTTAGGCTCTTAGTGAGGATCCTTAATAACCTCTTTGCCTCTGCCCATTCAGACTGCTATGTTCAAAATATTCAAAATCACCTCAAGAAGCAGGCATCTTTTCTTCATCTAAGTAGCCCATTTTCTCTTATTTTTCTAATTCCTCTAAAAATTGTAAAAGTTTCTCTGAAGTACAGATAAAAAGCTAGCAAAAGTAAAGTCAGCATTATACATTATACAAGTCAGTTTTCAACATTTATAAAGAATAAAATACTTTAAAATATAGAAGAATTTTTGAAACCAGATTTTATTTTGTTTTAAAAGTCTATTTCCTCTTATTACTTAGTGATTCATTGGCACATAGTGATTGACATATCTAACCTTATAAATTCTTTGGTCAAAATGGGTTTGTATTTCTGTGATTAAAAAATCAAAAGAAATGTGGGAGAGATTTTTTGACACAAAAGTTAAATATAAGACATATAGTTAGTTAAAGGGCAGCAGTGTACATACCTGACTTATTTTACATAATATATTGTGGTCTGTGTATACCTGTGTATTTTGAAATAGTATGTTAAATCAGACAGTGAGATGAATCTTAATATTGCACTTGATTCTAGTTCCCCATGGCATTCAGTTTAAGCAATAGCTAGAAAGATAAGAAAGGAGTTAAAATTTAAAAATAACAAAAAATGACACATAATTCAAGGAGGTAAACAATGAGGTTTGATAAAATTAAAAATAAAAAGAAATCAGAATATTAGATTTTACTGAGAAGTGCTTTTTGAATGTGCATTGGTCATGGTAAAGTCTCAGAACATAAGAATACAATTACATGCTTTATCCTCTAAAATATTTGTGGGTAACAGAATAGGACTCTCAAAGTCTGCCTACAGCTCACTGTTAATATTTGTGCTCCTTATACTGCAAAGTTTTCCATCAAATCCTAAAGGGATTTTCTGACACTGACATCAGTGTATTTCTGTGGTAATGCTAAGTTTTAAGAACATATAATCCACTTGAAAGTAATAAAATATGCCCTTTGAGACATTGAGGTTACAGCAAATGACCTTTACCAAAGTCTGGTGATCATCGTGGTGATTTGTACATATCTGACCATTTTTTTCAATTCTGTGCATTGCTCTACAAACTAGTCAGAAAGTAGTCTCTATCAGGTTTGAACCCTTAGTGAAGGAAGTGAAATTAATATGGTTTATGAAAAATTTAGCATTTGGAGAGGAAACTAGAAATTGTGGTAGGTTCAACAAGGATCACCCACTTTATTTTGGAATTTAAATTCATCTTCTTTCCCTAGAATGCTCTCAAAATTGAATGCTATTATTGTTCTTATAGATTATTTAATGAGTTTGTTCCCTTATCTTTTGTGTTCATATCAACTACTATTTACCATTAAGTCTTTTATTTTATTCTAACTCCGCTGAGTCATTTTCATTAAACTTTGTATTCACATGTTTGAAAATCTCTAATTTGTTAGTCTTTCCCAATCCTCAACATAAGCATCTAGGTTTAGAGAATTTTACTTAATATGTCCAATTCCATATTTCTAACACTATGAATAATGTTTGACATTTCATAGTGTTCAATACTTTTAAATGAATTAAAAATGTGTTTCTTCTCTGTTCAAGAATTCAGAACAGAACTTCATTACTTTTCAAATCAGGCCCACTTCCCTATTTTGAAATTCCGTAGTTTGTCAGCATCTTGTTTCCTGTATTTTCACTGTGAACCTTGGAGAAAATGGTCATGTACCAGGCTTCAATGATTCTTGTTCACTTGCTACAGTTACTTTGGTAATGATGTTTTCTTCAACAAAACAACTTCCTATTTTTTCATCTCAGTGCTGCTCATGCTTGAATTTAAACATGAACCCTCTGTTAGAACTTCTCTAGGTCTTTGTAATCAAATTTATTTTTCCTTTTCTTGATGTAAATGACCAATATCTGCCTTTATAACATAATTTCCACTTAATTAGGCATAAAATACATGTCCCTTAACTGTCCAATTGTTTATTATCAAATAGCTTTAAATTAGGGATCAGTTAGTACCTTTTTGGACTCTTGATAGCAAGCTGAGCTGAATCTTAAATTAGTACATATTGCCTTGATTGCTAAAATATATACAGGCCACTAAAGAAATCCAATAAACAAAGGAGATACATAGTGTAGTCAGAATGGGGATAAGGACTTTTTAGAGTTTAGAAATTGCTTCTGACAATAAGCTCAAGAAAAAAAAAACTCTCAAAGAAAGGTGGTTTATCAGTGGAAGTGTCTTTTTAGGTGAAATTTACAATGTAACAAGGGTTAGATTAGCACAGAAAATGGGGAAAAATAAATGAGAGAACTGTTTGCAAAAACTGTAGAAATATGAGAGATCCAGATGGAATAAAAAATTCAAAAGTAAAATAATGGGCTAGAGCCAATACACAACAAGAAGACACTACAAGTGAAATGGAGGAATAGTGAGTTAGATTGGATTTCGTTCCTCATTTTTTCTTCAACTATTACACTGAAACTACTCTCTGTTAAGATCAAAAGCAACTTGAAATATCATTCAAAAGGGCATCTGATTAGCTTCATAACTAAGCTAACCTGTTTGGCAGTACTGGAATTCTCCTCACGTTTGTTTACATAATAATATTCACTGCTTCTATCTTTCCAGTTCTTCTGGCTCCACTTTGTTTTTTTCCTTTTTTTTAAATTTTATTTAAAAGGAAAAACAGAAAAACACAAAACAAAACAAAGCGGTGTAAGGGTACAAGTAATACAGAACTACAAAAAAAAAAAAGAAAGAAAAACAGTAAGACATCATCAGTTAATAGATTACATATTATCATCTTAGAAATACTTGCTCAAATCACAGTATCAAAGAATACAAAGTGGACATTCAAACAGTGAGACTGCAAACAGTTGTGTTCAATGATCCAACCAAAAACATTAATATAGTCAGCTATTTAACACCCCTAAACACACTTGCTGTTGTATCCTTTAGAGCTCTTTTTTTCCCTCTCTTTTTTACAACAAAATTTACACATTTTGGGTTTTATTACTCCTTAGTTCTTATTACTTTTTTGTGGGAAAGAGAATAAAGTCAAATATGGCAAAACAAAGCTGTCAGTCAAAACCAAAGATAGACATAGCTCATGATGTAAAACAGAGTACAAGGTTATCAACAATGGTTATCAACGATGTCTCTTGTTTCCTTAAAAAGAATTGTCTATCTCATTAGATATTATAAAGTTGAACAAAACAGTAGAGAACAAGACCAATAAAACTTAGGCATTGTAAACATTACAGGACTTCTAAAGGAGACAATAGTCAAACCAGAATGGGTATCTTAGTGAATCTTATTGTCTTCAAAGTAGTTGCCTATACCCTCAAACTTGATACTATCATACAGAATGGAACAGAGTCTAATCAGTCAAAACAAGATCATGGGAGTACTACAGGACTTCAAAACAAGTTAATAGGAAATCAAAAAAAGTTACTATTATATATCCTGCTAATTTTTAAAAATTTTCCCCTTAATTAAAACAAACATAAGAAATAACTAAATAATTTTTTTAAAGAATAAGGGAGAGATTGAGATAAAACAGGACATAACAATATAACAATACAGGTCAAAGCATGACTGTTTCAGCAACCTAGTGCTTCACCACCAAATAACCCGACTTAATAGTAGTTACCATAGTGTCTGTCTTTTTCCTTGAAATATTTGAATAAAACTTCATATACTATAGCTTCAAATATTTCCATATCAAGAAGCCCAGAATAAAGCCTTTCCAATTAATAAGTGAAAACTTTATAAGGCTTCAAGGCCACATAATGGGGAATCATGATTACCACATATTTTTATATACTTGAATCATTACTTACATTAGGGAAACTATTCGGTATTCACACATGCGAGATTGATTTATTTCACTTATGAGTATGGTGTCAAGCTGCACCCATTTATTGATAAATATCTCAATGTGATCCTTCTTTATAGCTGAATTATACTCCATTGTATAGAAATACCAAAACTTTTTTATC